ACAACTCTGTTTCCATAACAAAGAGCCCTAAACACAAATAATATGTTGCTGTCTGCTACCATCAAGACAGCCCCTAACTAGACCCTGTATCTATTGTTTTTAATTCTTCAGAAGAAAAATAAATGTTAAATCAATTTAGTTTTAGTTTGGAGAGAATCAGAAAGACAGAAAAAACTTTGCATCAGAATCCCAAAGCATGGAATAATTGTTACATTTTTATTTGATTAAGAAAGATTTAAGGGGCAAATATCCAAGGTACAGTGTAGTAAGTTGGCTGAACTGCCATTCATAGTGATGGGGGCATTTGTCTAAGTTACCTGGACAAGGTTTTGAACATCCCCCTAGACCTTTTAAAACATGTTGTGAAACACATTAAACCATGGTTCTTCACTTCTTTTAAACACAACAAAGAAGAAAAAATGTAAAGGCATGCCTTCTGACAAAAACAAAACAAAGCACATGAAAGAAGGATGTGTGTATTATTTAATAATGTTGTTCCTGGTTGTGAAGTTGTTGAATATGATTTAGCTAGAAGTCTACAAACCCACCTGAGAACTTATGTATCTCTTGGTTTTGTGATTCATGGTAGGGGTCTGTGCAATCATCCAAAAAAGAGTAGTTGTTCTCTTGAGGAAAAATGCCCGTTTTCTTTCCAGAATTTAACAGCAAGTATAAAATTTCTTTTACTGAATCAGAGAAGGAAATAGTGTATTGCTTCTGTTGATAAATATGTAAAAGTTGTAAATGGCAAGCATACACTTTAAAAATCGGTGCTTAAATAAGAACAGAATCGGTGAAGAGATGAAGGCGCAGTGGACTGAGATCACCTACACAGCAGTAGACTTAGTCAATGACAGACTTAATCAACTTAATCAAATATTGCCTTCTACTCTTAACAAAAGGAGATGATTCAGAACAAAGGGAGTACCTACCAGTTTCTCTAAAGTGGTCCGACCACATCCAGATTATATTTTCTTGTTGATTCTATATAGGTAAGGGAAAAGGTATCAATTCAATAATGCCATGATATTTAGAAAAGCATGAGTAAATTTCTGCAGAATCTGAAAATCATGGTTAATGGTGGAATGGTTAACCAGACTGAAGGTTTTTAGATGGGGTTCAGAGACTTGAGCATGGTTTAAGAATTGTCTAATGCTATTTAAAATGATTATATATAAGAAGGATGATACTTATACCATGTAGTTTTAAGGACAGGTATAAAAATGATAGGCATAGAAATATTGCAGTTCACAGTAATGGAGCTCTTGAAAAGGAAATACTGTATGGGCATTTGGTAACAAGTGTGTGTCTTATGAATGGACGTAATCAGCATCTCTTAGGTAGATAATTGAAAGTGTACAGGGGCCTTTCTCATTTGTAAAGAAGTTGGCCTTCAATAGGATTTGCTAAATCTAGTTGATTTTGAGGATTGCATTTTTATATTATCTTTACCATTGTTCTTTGAGTTTTTTAAATACAGATACGCTATTAAATTAATCAGCCTTCAAGAACATACACCTATCGTGGATAATAAGCATGTAACAGGAAAAGAAACCCCATAGATAAATGTAGTTAGTAAGGTATTACACCATTTCCTGATTTCGATGACATATATTTGGTACAGTGATGCTGGGGTTCAAATCATGAACCACTGGAGTTAAGGAGCCTTGCTGGCCCAATGTCTCTCCGAATAAAAGGATTAATGGTTAAAACCCAGCAGCTACTTCAAGGAAGCAAGATAGAGCAATCTGCTTTCACAAAGACTAACTATAGTTTGGGAAACCCGACAGTGCAGGTCCTCTCTGTCCTAGAGGGTCATTCTGAGTCAGCATCAAGGCTACCTTGTTTTCATATTGGAGCTATGCAATCTCAGGTAAAGTTTTAAAACTCTCTAAAGTTTTGCCTTCTACAAAATCGGGTTAGTAAAGCACTCATCTTTTAGTGTGTTCAGATGATTAAATGTATCAATAAAAATGTAATTAATTAATGCAATGTAATGATTATGATAATTAATCAATAACGATCACCTATCGTGAGCAGCTCCAGTGGTGCTTTGGGATAAATGTCATCAGTTGGTCCATGGGAGAAAGAAGTGGCTGTCTGTGCCTGTCACAGTGGTCTCTGTGAATCACAATTGATTTGATGGCAATAGGTTGGGTTTTTACTGGATCATGACCATGAGCTTGATCATCATCAGAGGAACTGCTTCAGAGGATCTAAAGCTACAATCCACTGAGGATTTCTCATTTAATTTATTTTTTTATGATTTACACCTAGCTCTTTGATATAGAAACCAGCTAGATCTGTAAAGTCAAATAAAAGTGTCAGAATATTAAAAATAAAATAGAGGGAGAGAAAGGAAAAAGTGGGAGAAGGGGCTAGATACACACTTCCTCCTCCACCTCCTCCTCCTCCTCCTCAAACCAGGATCTATCGAATGTGTGAAGTGTGTATCTCTATCCTATGGCAGACTCTTCAAAAGAATGAATGGCTTCTCAGTAAGGCATAATACTGCTATCCTAACTCTCTACGAATCTGTTTAGAAATACTTCTATGTGTTAGAATTTCTTTCATCAAAAGTAGTATATTTATCATGCTTGATCATGTCCATATAAGAAATTTTGAACAAAATATTTGTCCCATGTCATAGAAACTAGGGATTTTTTTTCAATTTTAAGTAGGTTTATATTGTTTTAGAGATAATTTTTTTGCTTACTTTACATTCATGAAGTATCTTCATTTTCTTTATGCTGTCTTTGTACATATTTATTACTACAATTCTGTTACCTCCATATACTTCTAAGATTAGTTTCTTCCTCTATATGTTTATGTGTTATCCAGTTAATATTTATTAAAGTTGATTTTTATTTATGGAGAAAGAATAGAAAATTGTTTACTGATATTATAACAATACATTATTTGAAAGCATATCTTCTAAGGATTTAACAAAATATGTATTTATATGAGAATGGACTATTGGTGGATGATTTATGAATTTTAACATTACTTATAAACTGAGAAATCCTTTAGCAAAAACAAAATGCAAATAATCTTCCTTACCACTTTTTTGCCTTTCATTTATTTTTTAAAAAGATGTGAGCAAGTTCACTTTTGATTTCCTGAAAGAGCTTTTGTTAGACATGTGACTGTGGTTTTTGCAGTGTAGCACAATGTTTGATTGAACGTCAGAGGAAAATCACAAAGATCAATCTGGAAGACCAAGTTTGACAGAGTAATGGCATTAACAGCGCCTTTGTTGGTTTGAGATGTATAACTCAGCATTCACTAGCACCAATATTGGGTTAACGTGGAATGCAGATAGCAGCGTGAGCCCAAACTAAAACACAGCCCATGGAGAGGCTTAAAGAGTAATCAAGGGTTAGATATGCAGATTATTATGGATAATCATATATTTAGCAGATTTAAAGCTGTTTATATGACTCAAAATCATCTAGTAGTAGATATTTATGTATTTATTTATAATACTTAAAGAACCATTTTAAAAACAACTGTGAAATGAACATCTTCTTAATTCATGAAGGCTACCTAAATGCAGAAATTTCATGTGGAGGCTTTGTTTTATGTTTTGAAACTCGTTTAGTGGGTCTTTCCCAAATAGCAAGGTAACTAATTTACCAGTGTATTCTAGACATTTTTAAAGCATATTTTTGTTTATTAATTTAAATCAATTTGCCATGGAAGTATTATTTAAGCTCGAATATTATAAGACTGTGCCTAAATTTATCTGCAGTAGCTTAGAATCACGATGTAAAAAATTAGCTAAGAAACATTGATTGTTCTTTATTCATTCTTTTTTTATTACCCTGCCTGTAAAAGTCTGATGCAAACACAAGTATTTTGTTGGGTTCTAATTCATATCTATAATAAGTTAGAAAAAAACTGTATGTATTTCAGCTCCCAAGGCTACACTTCTAGGTACCAGACAGCATTCTCCTTTTTCATTTTCCAGCTCCTGTTGTCGTGATTTTCGCGGTCCCCTTATTATTGCATATCATTGCTGTTTTTTAAATTCTCATTTAAATACTTCATATTTAAAATTCATATTATAACCTTCCCCCTTAGTATTTCTTTAGCATGGTAATTGCATCAGAAAATTACAAGTTTACTGGTTTTATTGAATTGAATTTTTTTATTTTTAAAATATTCTTATACATTTTTCACTAAAAATTATAACCCAATTTTCAAATTTTTGTGTCAAATATTGCTTTAATTATATTCATATGCTGCTCTTTGTTAGTTATGTATTCCCAGGTATAGTGTCATTATTTGCTAAGCTTTATGCTTTAGAATTTAAATTTACATGTCACATATCTCTTTCAATTTTACTGTACCATATACCAATTTACAAAACAATGTTCAAAAATAAAATCAAATTTAATTATAACATGTAAACACATATATATTTGTTTGTTGGGCAGTTTTAAGGGACAGAAAAAAATTAATGAAAGCAAAATTTTTCTCAAATGTGTTTGATCAAAACCTATCTTTATAGACCACACAGCCTCGTGGCAGCAATGCCTCCCAACAAAAACTGCCACACCAAAGCAAACAGCTGTCGAATTTTTTTAAAGTCTCATTTTGTTCATCTTGTTAAGAAGATGAAAGCTGTCTTGAAACTTAAAACTATACTTTAAACGCTTTTTAAGCACATGAATTGATCATGAAACATGACAACCATTCCCATTCAATTTTTAAAAACTCATGACTATAAAAAGAACACCCACTAGATTGACAGATTTGGGGAATATTTCATGTGGTCAAGTATGTGGTTTCTGTAACTTATTACACTGTAACCAAGTGGAAGAATCTTTCAGATAACTGTTTTCAGTCATTGTCTCGTGTGCTTAGAATAATTACAGAGCACTCGATAGGAGTAAACATTGACCAGTTAACACAATTTAGTAAATGCAATTTAGCCAAAGTCGGAGAAAAAAAGTGAGAATGTGTAAATGTAATGTTTGTTGTCTTATATATTGCAGATTCAGAACAATTTGTGGGCAGGAAATGCAAGTGGCGGTTCTGTGGTGACCTCATGCATGTTACCACGTGACACTTCCTCCTGTATGACACCTTATTCCCACTCGCCTCGGACAGACTCCAGTTACACAGGGTTTTCAAACCACCAGAACCAGTTCAGCCACGTCCCCCTCAACAACTTTTTCACTGACTCTCTTCTTACCGGGGCTCCCAATGGACATGCATTTGAAACAAAGCCAGAGTTTGAAAGGAGGTCTTCCAGTATTGCGGTTCTTCGAATGAAAGCCAAGGAGCATACCGCCAATATTTCATGGGCCATGTAACATACGATACCTTTTTTATTTTTGTTTAATAGCAAGGTAAAACATTTTTATCTCTCATATTTAAAGAATACAACAATAAGCTGCTTTGTGTGGAATTGCTGAAGGTCAAGTTATACAATGAGACCAGCTTAAGTAAATAGATGTTATTATTTAACATTAAAATTTAACAACAAACTTCTGAAAATACTAAATAGATTTACCATCCATCAGTCTCTACAAACTGTTTTAGTAGTAAGATTTTCCCCCCTATTGTACAAATCAGTGAAATATGATCATGCAACTTAAAAGAATAAATGTGTTAAATAAATTCCTCTGTTATAGATTGATTGATGTGAATTCAGTATAACAAGAAATCTCTTGTAAAATAATATGTGGTAATGGAGGAACTGCCCTGGGGAAAATGTCAGATACCAAGCTGACAGCTAAATATTGAAGAAGGGTGTTTGGGGTGAGTTAACTGCATGTCAGTCTCTCTAGGGGCTGAAGATGCAGTGGGCATATCCCCTTTGCTGAGAATTTATCTCTAAGCTGCAAAGATGTTTTATCTCTGGATGCTTCACTGAATTTACACTCAGAGAAAAAGCACTTTTCTACAATGAATAGCATTCACATAAAATTTTTGGATACAGTTTCCTGAAAGTACATTCCAGTATGATTTAAAATCATAGTCACAAAACTTTTTTAAATATGCCACCACTTTATCAACAACCACAGCAGCAAAGTCAACAGGAACGTAGAAGCCTAGTTATGAAAGAAAGGCCAAAATAAGCCAAAAAACCTGCTCATGTCTTCAGACAACAATTGTGTTGATTATACACTGCGCACACAAATGTCTAATGAAATCAGTTAAAAGAGTAACTTATTTGAACATCTTTTATTCCGTGGGCATGTATGTGTGTGCATACATGTACGAACGTTTGTTTCTTAACATATTAGCCTTTCAGCATTTTCCACTACTGTGGTTGTACATAGGGAATTAAGACGTCAGAAGGCTCACTAACATTTCTGGTGGAAAAGAAGGGAGGAAAAATACATTGCATCTGGAAAATTGCTAACCCCTTTGATTTACTTCTCCTCCCTTTCCCCTGTCACATACCAAGCTTTTTCAGATGAGTGAAATGTCAACCCCCTTGAAAGACTCTTAAATTCATAAAGGCACAATAAATTAATTGAAATGAAGACGACGTCCAAGACTCAAATCAAAGTAGGCTCTGCTCTTTGTACTCTCTCGGAATCTTCCTGTGGTTGTTGGAGCCTTCGGGGTTTTGCCTCAAAGCCCTAAAGGCTAAAGGACAAGAATGGGTGAATTTTTAAAATTAAGTTTCAGGGGGTAAAGTATGTACATTCAGTAAGTATCTCTGCCCAGTGGGAGAATATTTACAATAATTAGACATCTTTTGTCATAAAATGTTAAATCAAGCAGATGATGGAGATGAGTGGTGTCCTAAACAAACATTCCCTGCCTTCATAATACTTTGTTCTTTATTGCTTCTGTGTTCCCTCTTTGTAGCTGTGTTCCCAAGAAAAACTTGTTCAACTTGGGCCCTGAGCATTATGCTTACATGCAGGACCTCTTGTTCACGTATTGTTTAGGCAGCTGTTAAGTAGTTTTCATTTTTAAAAAGAGAACAGCTCTCTTAAAATATCCATATATGTTGTGGATATGAAATTGTGACTTAAAAGTTGGGCCTAAAATGTAAGATTTTTATTTTCTTCAGCTTTCTTAACATTTTAGTGTCCTTGGCTAATACCATTAATTTTTTTAATGAGATCCAAAGCTCAGAGAATCAAGTTTAAATTTCATTTTATTTCTTAGTTTTTCTACTTTAAAATTTCCCTTTCATTTTATCTACTCTCTGGAGCTTTGGAAATTCTTTTTTTTTTTTGGGTAAATTCAAATAACAGTTCTATTTTTTTATTACGGTTTCACATCTACTGTGTTCTATATAATTCAGCACCTCATTTATGAACACCAACAATATGTGAAGTACTATTTGGGATAATAAAGGCATCATGGAAGCAGGGGACTTGTTCAAAAAGGGTTGAATCTCAGTCTTCTTCTGCAAGCATATCTGTAAAATCTAGAAGATGGATTTTAGCCTGGCCGACGCTTTGTATGATAGGATGATGCCTGTAAGACCTGTAGGGTTAAACTAAATCTGTTGTGCGTGTGCTTATGTCCCAATGTTCCTTTTTATTGGCTGAACATGATATATTTGAGATATGAAAATATAATAAAATCTACTTTTGATCAAATAAGGTAAGGTCAAGTCAAAGACTATAAAATGTACATCCCAATTTTTCTTGCTCTTTTAAAACTTAGATTTAACTATATTTCATATTCTATCATTCACTTATCTCACAAAACGTTGACTTTGTATACTTAAGAGGAAAATGCTGTTATTTCATTTGCATTTCACAGTGATTATTGGGGTGTTTTTTTTTCATTAAGCAATTTTGTGAACTTGGGCATTTAACCCATGACAGCCTGATCCTCCCATTTGTCTTTCACAGATGGTTTGAGAAGTGATTCTTAGACACTTTTCCTGAGCAGGGTGGTTTGTGTTCAGAACCTAGGACAACAAATAAATCTTTTGTGTGTGTGAGGATTAGGTAAGGTGTGTAGTTTCTTAAGTATAGAATGAAATGTCAGAAAACAGTGAACTTTTGTATAGAATGAAATGTCAGAAAACAGTGAACTTTTTGAAGGCATATAATTTACTTATTTTTTTATGGATATTGAATCATGGTTATTTTCTTCCTTAGTAACTTCTGAAAGAAAGCCACTGTAATCTTCGCCGCCAGTCAGGAACACATCTCCAAAGAATAACAGAGTTACTTAACCTATGTAACCTCGAGGAAGCTCATGAAGTCGTGTGTATAAATTAGGGTGTGCATTGTTTCTCGTTCATCTCTTCTGTTGATCTTTACCTCCATGGGAGGAGGAAGGGACAGATTAATACACTTAGTAGGTTCTTATAAAAATAATGTGGCTTAGATTTATTTTTGTGTCTTTCCTGTGTCAAATACTGGGTGCTCATTTGACTTGCATGTGTACTTTTTATACATCCCCATCCTGTTTTTTATGTAAAACTCTAGATTTCAATGTGCTGTCTACTTGTACAAAGCTGTATAGCCGTGGAAGCCGTGAGTGGGGCAGGGTAGTTCTACTCTGTCTTTAGCGTCACTCTGTAGGAGTCGGCTCAGCAGCAGAGTTCAGTGGTTTTTAGTTTTATTGACAACTGCATAATCCCTTAGGCAAAATTAAGAATAGAAAAGACAAATGGCAATTTGTAGAAGCTGCTCAGCTGACATATTTTAAAACTTTATGAGTGATCCTCAATTTTGAAGTAAACATTTGATTAAAATAGTACCATATATAATAATAAAGTATAACTTTTATTCAAATAATCATCACTTTTATTCAAATAATCATCACTTTTATTCAAATAATCATACACTACCAACAGTTTCAGGAGCAATATAGAAATAATCTTTAAGTTCTCAGTTAAGACTTACTTTGCCTTTTTCTGATTAGAATATGCAGATGTTTTTAATAATTTTATTTTCACAATACACATCACACCATTTAATAGTTCAACCATATCAAGAATTGTACAATCATTTCCATGATCAATTTCAGAAAATTTTCTTTCCCCAACCCCCCAGCCAAGATTAAAATGGCTTTAATTCTAGTGTTCACTTCCCCTCCCCACTTCATTGTTTACTTACTAAGTAAATCCCATCACCCTCCCCATCTTTCCTCCGCCTACATCCTCTTGCATCAGTTATTATCCCTTTCTATCTACTCCTTCTGTGCTTCACAGACTGGTAAACCCAACAGAAACTTTAAAGAACAAAAATGAAATGAAGTGGTAATACAAAGATGAAAATATAAACAACTAAGAAAAAAGGACCACCATCAATATTTAAAAGGCCAGGGAAGAAATTTTTGTCATGGAACAAGCTCGAGATGCTTGCACCTAAAATAAATTCAAGTCGGGTCTAGAGGGAAGTCAACCGAACAAATATCAAGTTTGACCCTGCATAATCAGGCTTTCAATAATCTATGTTCGATAGTAAGGTTGTCCCAGCCCCGTGCCTGTGGCTGGAGGGGATCTGCCAGCCTCTTCATCTGACCTGATACTCTGCAGATGGGTTTGGGCGACCACGGTCTTCCACAGACTTCTACAAATTGGGTGTTCTCAATTTTAGCTCTGATATACTTTTCCCTTTGTCATACTTGAATTTTATTATTGTCATCTTTGGATCACTCAATCTGGTGTGCTTCTCCCATGTGGGCTTAGTTGGCTCCTTGCCTAGATGGCTGCTAAAGATGTGTTTTTGTTATCTTTGCAATCTTAATTTCATTTCTACTTAAAGAAATTAGACATTTGAAATTCCAGTAGACATAATTTCCTAACAGCTATTAATAGTTTGCATTGAATAAAGCATAACTTTTCATATGAACATATATACAAGAAAATGTTAAATATTGAAGTGTATGTTAAAAAGTACTTTTTGCTTAGGCTCCAAGGTCCCGTTTATGCAGTTTGTACAAACCAGGCCGTCACCAATGATCCAAATGAAAACCGAGACCGCAGTCTCCTACTGTACTTCGCATTTATAGCCCAAAGCCGCAAAAATGGATTGACTGCAACCTGGTGGTAGTAAATGCTATAAAAGGATTTAATTTTTTAAAGTTACTTATTTTTCAACAAACACATTCCCATCTTTTATCCTCTTCAGGTATTACAGAAATGACATGCAACACTCCAAGCCTGGTACTGGTTAATTCTCCACTTTCACTGAATAGAACAGTCGAGTGGAATAAAGCTTTTTTTGTTTCCTTCATCGCCTTAGAATTGTATACATCACTATGCCATTTCTAAGTCCAAAGGGCAAATGCATGGTTTTACTTGCACATTTTACCAAGGCACTATATTATTGCATGTCTTTGACTTTAGAGTAAGAAGCATTATGTATTGTCCCCAGATTTCCACAGCATGTTATAGTTGTAAAATATTATTCTATCTATTTACCTTATGTATTTTAAGGAGTTGAGAGGATAATCCAGAACAACTAGTGGCATTGTCAAAAGCTGACTGGGTTAGACAGAAGGGAAAAGGAGACCCCTACAGGCTATTTACATAGTTCAGTTATGGAGCGTGCAAAGATTAAAATACTCTAAATATGACTATCCCAGTGAAAACAGGGTTGTTAGTTTATGGGCAAGTAGATAAAGAAGGGTATATG